TTAGGAAGAACTTCCTGACAGTAAGAGCTGTTCGACAGTGGAATTTGCTGCCAAGGAGTGTGGTGGAGTCTCCTTCTTTGGAGGTCTTTAAGCAGAGGCTTGACAACCATATGTCAGGAGTGCTCTGATGGTGTTTCCTGCTTGGCAGGGGGTTGGACTCGATGGCCCTTGTGGTCTCTTCCAACTCTATGATTCTATGATTCTATGATTCTAAGAGATGCATGATGATCTGGAGGGAAATGAAGGAGGAGTTATAATGCCACAGAAGATTAAGGAAGGCCAGAGGCCTGTTGGGAAGGGCACAAAGGAAAATAAGAACTGGATGATGAAAATTTGGTTTGAATTGGAGAAGGAAGAATGGAGAGATCTCCTTATGTGGAGATCTGAAGACCTATGGATCACAAATTTGATCAAGATGGAAGTTGGAGCTTCTGGGATATTTAGATTCAAAAGGATTAAGAAACAAGATTTGACCTCCACTTTTAAATATAGAGGTCTGGCTGGAAGAAAAATGGACATTATCGAGACAGAGCTTCTCCGAGATTTGGTGTGTGATTTAAAGGACTATCAAAAAACCCGGCAAAGGGGAACTGAGAGAGAATTAAGAGCCTCGGATGTGAGGTCTCCAGGCTGAGAGCAGATAGACTGATGGACATTGGGGATCGAAACCGGGAAAGGGGGGTTGGAGTTTGGGATTCCAAAGGGTGTACAATTATATTTTGACTTTTTCTTTTTTCCAACTTGTTTTGGTATGAGTATAAAAATGGGGAATTCGTGGAAGGGAATTGGGGTCGACCTTAGAAAAAGATTCTAATGTATAAAGACTGAGGTTTACAAGGTAAAAGTGGTTATATAAAATGAACGAAATATATTAATGAACTAAATACAATAAGGTCAAAAATTGGGGATAAGAACTTGTTGAACCAAATAAGTGGAATTGGAATACAAGAAGGGGAGGTGTGGGGAAGTCTTGGAAATATGTCATTGAAAATAAGGTTTAAACTGTGAATGTTTTTTTTTCTTTTCTTTTTTCTGGATATTTTGAAAATTTTAATAAATATGTTACTAAAAAAACCAAAACAAAACTAGGCCACAATTATTGAAAGGGAAGATGTTTTGAGTCAAAATTGTCTGCATTTTTAACCATTATTGTTTATGGATTTTGTATTATTATTTCAAAAGGCATAATTTGTGTGTGCATGCATACTTTCCCTCCCCTTTTTTCTGCTGTTGGGTGTCTTGATAAGTCTATACCATATGTGATTATTGTTCATAGACCAAAGAAGCTGAAAACAAACCCAAACCTGGATCAGTCTGGGTTCCTCTTGTGTTAGCATTTCTGTCCTCTGACAGGCACAGAGGTTGCTGCTGCTGACTAGCAAGATGATGAACGGATTGAATTCAGCCCTCTCTTGCTTTCTGACTGCATGCCAAAGACTGCATCCGTTGTGACTGTAGCCTCATAGTAAACCATCAGAAAGCTAGGCTCTTCAGTGGAAAGAGCCATGACCTCTAGAATAATAATAATAATAATTTTTATTTGTACCCTGCCCTCCCAGCCAAGGCCGGGCTCAGGGCGGCTAACAAACAATAATAAAAAACAAGTTGAATGAATACAACTTAAAAACAAGATTAAAATACAACATTGAAACATTAAAATGCAGCCTCATCACAGGAGGAGAAAGGAAAAAAGAAAAAGGGGGAGGGAATCAAATTGACTCCAAGCCAAAGGCCAGGCAGAACAACTCTGTCTTACAGGCCCTGCGGAAAGAAATCAGATCCTGCAGGGCCCTGGTCTCATGAGACAGAGCGTTCCACCAGGCCGGAGCCAGAGTTGAAAAGGCCCTGGCTCTGGTTAGGCTAATCTAACTTCCTTAGGGCCCGGGACCTCTAGGGTGTTGCTATTTATGGACCTTAAGGTCCTTCGTGCGGCATACCGGGAGAGGCGGTCCCGTAGGTACGAGGGTCCTAGGCCGTGAAGGGCTTTAAAGGTCAAAAGCAGCATCTTAAATCTGACCCTGTACTCCACTGGGAGCCAGTGCAGCTGGAAAAGCACTGTTCCCATGGCAGAGACCCCGTTAGGAGCCTCGCTGCAGCATTCTGCACCCGCTGGAGTTTCTGTGACAGCTTCAAGGGCAGCCCTGCATTGAGTCAAGCCTGGAGGTGACCGTCACATGGATCACTGTGGCCAGGTCGGGGCGGGAAAGGTAAGGGACCAACTGCTTGATGCGGCGAAGGTCGCCTTGGCTGTTACTGTAACCTGCGTCTCCATGGAAAGGGAGGCGTCAAGGATTATACCCAAACGCTTAACGGAAGGCAGTAGCACTAATTGGGCCCCCGCAAGAGAAGGGAGTTGGTCCCTCATCCCCATGCCATCCCGACCCAGCCACAGGATCTCTGTCTTCGAAGGATTTAGATTCAATTGGCTCCCACGAAACCATCCAGCCATAGCTTCCAAGCATCTGGTCAGTGTGTCCGGGGCCAAGTTGGTTTGGCCATCCATCAGCAGATTGTGCTGGTCCTAGGGGCTAACTGAGAGCCGAGGTCAGAGTCCAGTCTGAGGTCAGTGGTGCGGTATGAAGGTTGTCAGTCAAAGCTGTAGTTGGGTCCAAGGCGGGGCATCAGGTGGGATCAGGAACTCTGGCAGAAGAGCAGGTCAGGGTGCAGGCAGGAACAGGCTAGCAACAACGTGGGCCTGGGACCGCAACCTGGGACTGGGTCTGACTGGCCTGTATCTTCTCTGAGGCCTAGGGCGGCCCCGGTCCACAGGTGACTCGCCTTTCCTGGCCCGGAGGCGAGCACTCCTCCTGCGGGAACTTAGTTCCCTCCGCCTCTCTGCCCCTGAGCCTCTGCAGCTCAGGAGAGGCTGGAGAGTTACCGGACCCAGAGGCAACCTCCTCTTCCCCTGATGGGGCTGAGAGTGGAGCACCTGCAGGCAATGGGTCCTCCATCACTTCAGGGGCCAGAGCAGACTCAGCTGGTGCCTGCACCTGAGGATCCAGCACAGGTGAGGAGCCTTCAGGCTCAGGCCCCAGCCCCGGCTCAGCTGGTTCTGGAGGTGGGGACTCCTGTGCAGGCTGGGATTTGTCAGGTTCAGCCTCTGAGTCCAAATCCCAGGCCATCACACAGAGCTGAGTGTCATCAGCATATTGGTGACAGCCCAGCCCAAAGCTCCGGATAATCTGGGGAAGGGTGCGCATAAAGATGTTAAAAAGCATCGGGGAGAGGATTGCGCCCTGCGGCATTCCACACACCAAGGAGTGGCGCGACATCTCTCTCCCTAGTGCCACCCTCTGTCCCCGACCAGAGATAAAAGACCACAGCCATTTACGGGCTTTGCCCTGTATCCCCACGTCGGCAAGGCGGTGGTCCAGAAGATCATGATCGACCATGTCAAAGGCTGCTGACAAATCTAAAAGAATCAGCAGTCCTCACCCGCCTCGGTCCAGTTGTCTACGGAGATCATCTGTTAGGGTAACCAGAGCCGTCTCGGTCCCAAAACCAGGACGGAACCTGGACTGAAATGGATCCAAAGCCGATGTTTCCTCCAGAAACCTACCAAGCTATTCAGCAACTGCTCTCTCAATTACCTTACCCAGATATGGAAGATTTGAAACTGGGCGGTAATTGGATAGGTCTAAAGGATCTAGTGAAGTTTTAAGAGTGGACACACCACTGCTTCCTTCAGTTCCCCTGGGAATGTCCCTGTGCCAATGCTTGACTATGTAACATAGCTAGACTCTTAGAGCAGTCCAGTTTTCTCTGCATCTTTCCCTTTCCTCCTTGCACACGTCAGTTTTATGAAGAGCCTGGAGACAATCTGTTCGCAGCCCTTTATAGTATGAGGCGGTGGCAGCTGATAGTGTTTTGCAAATGGAAATGGCTTGGACTAATGGAAAGTAAATTGATTGTGCAGGATAAAATACTAATCAAATGCTGGCCATCCCTGCCACCTCCTGTAGTATGCCTGATCTATACAGAGTCATTACTATGCAGATTCCCTTCGTCAAAATAAAAAATAGAAAGCAAGAAGTGTGAAACTAAACTAAGTGAAGCAGAGCTCATGGAAAGAGTGGAACTGAAGTGTTCCCCTGTCTTTTCCCTAGTCCCAGATTGGTGCACCTCTCTTCACTCACAGTAAAATAGTAGGATGTTGAGACACATTGGACTCAAGCAGGGTTTTAACCCCTCTGGTTCCCCTAAAAAAATAATCTCAAAAACTGGAATGGTAATTATTGCTCTTTACTTAAATCCTGTAGGTATCAGTTTCACATTTCCATATAAAGCCAACATACTAAGTAAAGCATAGCATAATAGGCCATTTACGTGTGGGGAGTTTAAATATATAAGGCACATTATGCACCAGATAAAAATATGTCTGTTAATTAGGAAATTTGAATGGCTTGGGATTCAGAGTATAAAAGTTTGCTGTCTAAGGGATGAGCGAGAAATTCAATTTACATTTCATGATCATGGCGCTGAATTTTCACACAGCCTGATCTAGAATTAGCTGTGAATGTTTTCTAGAGCTGCAGCCTAAGCATGAAAAAGGAACTGAAGAATGTAAGGAAACATTAATAGCACATAGCAATGTGAGAGAGGATCCTTCTGGGGCACCACAGAGGCCTTTCCTGCCGACCTCTTACCTGGGAGTCAGCTGTGCAGCTGGCTTAAAATATAACAGCATCTCCAGCTGCTTATGCCACTTTATGTTGCTCATGTGATGGATTTCCAAGATTATGTGTCTTAACTCCCAGCATTTATTTAAATCACATATACTTTTATTGGATTTAGTATTTAAATTATTTGGCTTATGTTTTCACAGATAACAGTCTCTGTTTGGGTTATGTTAGAGGCCCTGTGAAGATTCTTGAAAGAGTATCCTACAAATTGCTCTTCCACAAAAGAATGATATCTGCTGTGGTCACTGAATTCTGTGGGACCACCTTCCATAGAAGAGTCGAGGGAACTTTATAGCTGATACAACCTTTTTCTCCTAGGATGCTGGGTTCTGATGTCATCCCACTGCCACATATTTATGGAGCCAGAATTAAAGGAGTTGAGGTTTTCTGTCCGCTTGATTCCCCACCTCCTTATGAAGCTGTGGTTGGCCAGAATCATGCGCAGGTACTGTCCATTGGATTCCACCAACTTGATGTGCTTTCACAGCAGGTTATTGAATTTTCATTTTTCTGCTTAGGAATAAGTAGCTAAATACATTCAGGTTTTAACTGGAAGTTGCTAAATTGGGAATGAAAGATATTTAGCTACTTTGGATTTTATATCTCTTGAGTATATACTTTTGCTTTTTTTGTAGTGTTGTTTTTTGTAGTATCCTAGTATTAGATTATATGTATCTTGACTATATACTTTTGGTTTTTGTAGTATCCTAGTATTGGATCCAAACATAGTCATGCACTGAGTAGACCCATTTAAACCAGTGGAACTCAACCTCATTGATTTTCAGTGAATCTACTCCATGTATGGTGAGAATCAGAGTCCAGTCCCTAAACCTGAGTGTAATACTAGAAGCTGAAAAGGCATAAATAGTATCTTCAATTTCACTGGTAATCTGAATTTTAAAATATATATAACATGTTTTGCTGTTCAAAGCAGGCTTTAAAAATAATAATGAAGTTTTCCCTGAGGGATAAGCTACTTTCCATTTGCATAACTCATTTTGATAATAATTAGTTTAAAAAACCAAGCATAATATGGTTTGTCTTGCTTTTTGCCCAGCTTCTTATACCCCACCCCCACCTATGGCCCAAGGATTATATGCTTGCTTGCTAGCTCTTTAATATTTATTGGTCTTTGAATGGGAGGATAGGTGTTGGTTTTACCAAGATACTGAAGAGCTCTTGAATTGTCCTTTCTATGAATTCCCTATTAATATTTATGTGGATAATGTTAATTTTTTATTTAGGGAAACACATTTCAAATTTCAGATGCTTCAGAAGCAGTGATTGGCTCACCAGGACAGAATGAGGCACAAGTATCTCCAGGTAAAGATGTAGGCTTGATTTTAAGTACTTGAAAAAAAGACCTTTGGAAGTGTTGTGGTGGAGTTGATGCTGAATGAATAAGCAGCAAACGGATGCACCTCTGTAACAAATGTTTCCTACTATTGTTTTCAACAGTGCAGCATCTGACATGGGATTTCATTAGAACAATTGACCACAGTTAAGAGTATTAAAGGTGATTCACCTGCAAAACGTGTTCCTAGAACCCCACATCAGGAATAAGGGGCGACTAACCATTTTTATCTAAATTATGGGAGAAAGCACCCTCTGCTTTTGAGCTTCAAACAGATTCATAGAAGATTCACCAGATTGTTCAACAGTACTTTATAATTTAAAAAAATTACAGTGTAACTTCAGATAAGAGCAAACAAAAAAACAGTATGCAGTTCTACCAAGGTTGGTCTGTGAAAAAAGTTTTAAATAGGTTTTGAATAAATGCATTTGGTTTATTTAAACTTTTTTTGCAGAAATATTATATTCTATCAGGGAAATGTTGAATTCAGGAACCCTGATAGAATAAAGTTTATGGCTTTGTATCACTAGATGGATGAGGACAAACAGATTCGAGCTGACTTATGGTAGATTTCTGTTAATATAATGCTTTTAGAAATGTTGGTGGCAAAGAACGGTATTGGTTGTCTAACTGCAGAGCAGCTGGATGATGCTAACTTTGTGCATCTCTGACAGAAATCCTGAAACATGGCTTTTTCATGGGAGGAGCCATCACAGTTCCTGGGCTAGCCAACTAGCTCTTGACCCCTGAACAAGACTTTGTCTGCCACTCACCCCATCTTTGCAGTTCTCCTGTTGATTTGTCCTTTGTAGGCAGCAGCTAAAGAGGTTAGCAGATGGTTTTAGCAATTTAAGCTGATCTTGAGTTGAATTGAGTTGAGTCTGTGATTCAGCAAGCTTTTGTCTACACCCAGACGGGCAGGGTAGAAATAAAATTATCATCATCTAACTTATTTTCATTTCACTAGGAACTGGACCAAGATGATCACACGTGTACCCAAAACATTTGTTTCCAAAGCTAATTATATCAATTACAGTGGTGCCTCGCAAGACGAAATTAATTCATTCCGCAAGTCTCTTCCTCTTGCGAGTTTTTCGTCTTGCGATGCACGGTTTCCCATAGGAATGCATTGAAAATCAATTAATGCGTTCCTAGGGAAACCGCCTTCAGACCAGGTCCGGGGACAGTCTGTCCCCGGACCTCTTCTGAAGGCTGGGGGGGGGACAAGGGCTTTTCTTCCCACCCCCAGCATTTTAAAAAACCCCGGGACAGCGGAGGACTTCTCCGCTGTCCGGGGCGATCTTGAAATGCTGGCGGGCGGCATTTTAAAATCGCCCCGGGACAGCGGAGGACTTCTCCGCTGTCCGGGGCGATTTAAAAGCCCCTGGGAAGGCAGGCAGGGGGGACAAAGACTTTTGCCCCCCCCCGCCTTCAGAAGAGGTCCTGGACCTCTTCTGAAGGCGGGCGGGGGGCGAAAGTCTTTGCTCCCCCCCGCCTGCCTTCAAAAGCCATCCGGGACAGGCAGGCAGGGGGGAGCAAATACTTTCGCCCCCCGCCCGCCTTCAGAAGAGGTCCAGGACCTCTTCTGAAGGCGGGCGGGGGGCGAAAGTCTTTGCTCCCCCCCGCCTGCCTTCAAAAGCCGTCCGGGACAGCGGAGAAACACGCTGTGTTTCTCCGCTCTCCCGGGAAGGCAGGCAGGGGGGAGCAAAGACTTTCACCCCCCGCCTGCCTTCAGAAGAGGTCCTGGACCTCTTCTGAAGGCGGGCGGGGGGCGAAAGTCTATGCTCCCCCCTGCCTGCCTTCAAAAGCCGTCCGGGACAGCGGAGAAACGTGCTGCGTTTCTCCGCTCTCCCGGGAAGGCAGGCAGGGGGGAACAAAGACTTTCGCCCCCCGCCCGCCTTCAGAAGGTGTTCCCGCCCCGCCCCCTTTGATCCTCAGTTTTTGAAAGTTTCAGAAGTCAAAGAGCCTTCTGGAACAGATTACATTTGAAAACCAAGGTTCCACTGTATTACTGAAGGAATGAACTTGGCCTTTTCTTTTTGTCCACAATGTTTGCTATCATGGGAATTGGGGTTGCTTGTGTGTAAGCTCCGCCTCCTGCAAACTGCTCGATGCGGTTGCTTTTCCCCCGGCTGAGCAGCCCCCCCCCGGGCACGTCTGCTTCAGTCGCTGGCAGAATCCGTCAGTGGGCGTTTCCTAAACTTCCTCCAGCATAAAAATTCCTTAACAGACAGCCTCTTTCTAGCCTCTCTGCGCGGCAGCCTTCTGCGCAGAGTGGGCGTGCCTATCGGTGGTCCTCCACTCTCCTCACTCACCTCACTGGAAGAGTCTCGGAGCCTTCCCTCCGAAAAGCTCTCAACCCCTTCTTTCTCCCTTGTGTCTCCTTGCTTCTCTTCCCCAGCGGACTTCCTCTCTATCCCTGTACTGGTTCCCTCTCCGGCATCATTTGGGAGCCTCGCCTCTCCACTCTGCTCCGATGTCAGTTTCCTGACATCCACCTCCCTCTCAGGGCCCTCCTCCTTCCCCCGCCCCTTCCTTGGACGGAGACACCAGAAAACCCCGGAAGGAACTATCCTCTCCATCTGATGATTCAAACACACCTTTCCATCTGCTGCTGTGCCTTTCCACCCCCCAATCTTCCCCTTCGGATTCTTCTTCTTCGAACAATGCTCCTCCCCCCTCCTCAGAATTGGGAAACCCCACAAAATCTTCTTCATCATCTGTGGTGCCAAATTGCTCCTCCCAGAACCTCTCTCTGGGTTTGGGTTTTCTAGGGTACCTGCGATGGAAAACCTGCTTCATATACTCATCCCCCAACTCCTCCGCTGGAACCCATGTGTTCTCTGCTTCTGACTCCCCCTCCCAAGCTACCAAATACTCCACTCGCCCTCCTTTCCACCTGGAATCGAGAATCTCAGCTGCTTGCCCATTGAGTTCTCTCTCTTCCATTGATGGAAGCAAGGACGATTCTCCTTCTTGGCCCAACCGCTCCCTTCCCTTTTTTTTTTTATATATAAATTTTTATTGATTTTCCAAACACATAATAAAAACAAACCATACACAAAACAAAAACATACAAACATATAAACATGTATAATTTCATAGTCTTATTTTCATACACTTTACTTCCCGGACTTCCCCATACCTCCCCTTTTCTGCATCCTTGTTTTACATTTCTTCAGCAACTCCTCCAATTAACTAATTATTTCAATCACTTTCAATTAAATTCTTTTTTCTTTAACTTATTAATTTCAGCTGCAAATCTCTATTTCTTAATTCCTTAACATCTTAACACTCTTCAATTTTACAACAATTTTTAAGATATATTTAAAATTCTTCCAGTCTTCTTCCACTGTCTCTTTCCCCTGGTCACGGATTCTGCCGGTCATCTCTGCTAGTCCCATATAGTCAATCACCTTCGTCTGCCATTCTTCCAGAGTGGGTAGTTCTTGTGTCTTCCAATACTTTGCCAGAAGAATTCTTGCTGCTGTAGTAGCATGCATAAAAAACGTCCTATCCTTCTTTGGCACCAATTGGCCGACCATGCCCAAGAGAAAAGCCTCAGGTTTTTTAGAGAAAGTCCACTTAAGGACTTTCTTGATTTCATTATAGATCATTTCCCAAAAGGCTTTGATCTTCGGGCAGGTCCACCAAAGGTGATAAAAAGTACCTTCAGTCTCATTACATTTCCAACATTTATTATTGGGCGAATGATAAATTTTTGCAAGCTTGACTGGGGTCATGTACCACCTGTAAATCATTTTCATTATGTTTTCTCTTAAGGCATTACATGCCGTAAACTTAACACCGGTGGTCCATAACTGTTCCCAGTCAGCAAACATAATGTCATGACCAATATCTTGTGCCCATTTAATCATAGCTGATTTCACCGTTTCATCCTGTGTATTCCATTTCAACAGCAAATTATACATTCTAGACAGATTCTTAGTATTGGGTTCTAACAGTTCTGTTTCTAATTTTGACCTCTCCATCTGGAAGCCTATTTTCCTGTCCTGTTTAAATATCTCATTTATCTGAAGATAATGCAACCAATCTCGTACCTTGGACTTTAATTTCTCATAACTCTGTAATTTAACTTTTTCACCGTCTTGCTCTATAATTTCACAATATTTTGGCCATTTAGACTCCATATTAAGTTTTTTCACCTCTTTAGCTTCCATTGGTGACAACCACCTGGGAGTTTTACTTTCCAATAAGTCTTTGTACCTCATCCACACATTATATAATGCTTTCCTAACAATATGGTTTTTGAAACCTTTGTGCACTTTAACTTTATCATACCATATGTATGCATGCCAGCCAAATCTATTATCAAACCCTTCCAGATCCAAAATGTCTGTATTCTCAAGAAGCAGCCAGTGTTTCAGCCAGCAAAAAGCCGCCGATTCATAATAGAGTCTTAAGTCCAGCAGGGCAAACCCCCCCAACCGCTCCCTTCCCTCCCTGATCGGTGAGAGCAAGGACCTGTGAAAAACCGGATGCAATTTCATGTTGGGAGGCAATTCGAGCCTAAAGGCTACCGGGTTCACCTGTTGGATTACTTTGAACGGTCCCAATCGTTTTGGCCGCAACTTCTTGCACCCTCCTTTGAACGGCAACCCCCGAGTGGACAACCACATCTGGTCCCCCACCCTTAAGATTTCCCCTTCCCTGCGGTGCTTGTCAGCCTGCCGTTTGTACTCTTCCTTGGCTCTCTCTAAGTTGATCTTTAGCTGTTGGTGTAAAGCTTCCATCTCTTCCACAAATTCTTCCGCTGCAGGAACACTCCACCTCCCTGCCCCCTCCCCCGGGAAAGCTCTGGGGTGACACCCGTAATTAGCCATGAATGGGCTCATCCCCGTGGATACATGTTCTGCATTGTTGTATGCAAACTCCGCCAGCGCTAGTTTGTCCACCCAATCAGTCTCCCTGTCGTTCACGTAACAACGTAAGTATTGTTGAAGTATGC